CGGCCTGGGCTTCCAGTTCAGAGATCACGGAGTCAATATCTTGTGCCCCGTTGCGTGCCGTGTGTTCCAACCATTTCATAATGATCATACATTCGAGAGCATAGTGATCGGCGCTTAGGAAACCTTCCCAGACATCGCGATCCGAGGAGTAGCGGTGAAGCGATTGAAAGACGGTTGCCTGGGCCTGTCTGGCACTCTCTTTGCTTGGAGGATCATTGACGCTGATGAGGTTCAGCAGCAGCTGCCAGGTGTTTGCTTCGAGTTGTAGACGCTGTTTTTCTTCCTCGGCCTTGGGATCGTGAGTGGGGGTTCCATTGCTGCGGTTCGCACTCCATCCCATCTTTGCGCGCTTCAGAGTACTTTGCTTCGAGATATCCTGGATAGCATCTTCCGCCAGCGTCTGATAATCCTTCACTAATTGGTAGGCAGCCTGGTAGCTACCAAAGTCATCACAGTAGCTACCCTTCTGTTTGAAACGGTCGAGTTTCTCTGCGAATGCTTCGATCTGGCGAGTGACGCGGTCCGCGGTGCGACGCAAAGGGTGTAATGCTTCCTGCGCGCCTGCCGATGTGAATAGATCCGGGGTATTCGTCGCGTCGTGGTCATCTAGAAGATATAACGGTCAGGACTGCTCCAGGTAGGAGCGTGAATAGAACAGAACATACTGTAGCCATTTGTACCATTGCCCAAAGCCAACGGCGACTCATTCCCATTTATTCCGTTGGCGTCACTAATGGATTCCTCCTCCGACTCCTCCGGTTCTTCGTCGTCATCGTCATCCATTTCCTCGTCGTCGTCGCCATCCTCCTGTTCCTCGTCATATTCATCTGCGATCTCTTCGTCTTCCATCGATTCGTCGTCGTCGTCGTCTTCTATTTCGATGATATCCGGCTCATTGGCAGCGGAGTTTTGAACGGACTAAAGCGGCGGAGTTAGTTGGCGCTACTACGGGCGACCAGGATGGACGAAACAAGGAAAGAAAGGGGAATTTACATTAAAGGAAGTAAAGCCAGCATGTGAGCCGGAAGCTCGTGTGAGAGGAGCCATGAACGAATGTCGCCTTCTATACCGGGTGGGGGGAGAAGAAAGGAAGGTAGGGCGTGCAGAGAGTTGGGCAACTTCGTTCTTTCTTTTCTTCTGCAGCAACAAGCAACAGCAAACAAGTCAGTCTAGCGTGTTTTGGGGGGCAACTGGCCGCTAGTGCCCCTTTGGGACTAGCGCCCTCGGCATCCACACGCTTTAAAAACAGAAAAATTTCCCTTCCGCTTCTCTTTCTTTTTTCTTTTCCTTCAACAAATGTCTATAGGCAGTCATTAGAGTCTCGGGGCGAATGTTTCAATATTTGTCCAGGGTATAAACCCCCTCTCAGCGTGCTCACGATTGTCTTAGAGCAATCATGGCATTTCTCACAAATACGGGCTTTTACTCTTTATGGAAGCTCTGACTACAAGGGAATTGTCACAGATCCTCGATGCGATTCGATTCGTTATTGTGTTCGCTATGGAAAAGAATGGAGTCGACCCTCCGCCGTAATAGTACCTATATACATGGATGTCCAGGACAGTCTTTCCTGGTTATTGTCCCTCCGCCCGCTGCTTCATCCGCAACTTGAGCAGGCTGGGTTTGGGACAGCTGGGAGTTTTTGCATTCTCTCCTTGCTCAGCGTAGAAGGAGTTACAGCACTCATACAAGGCATTGATCTGGGATTGGCACTTTTCTTCCTGGTAGGAATTTCGTGTCAAGCAAGCTGGTAAATATTAGTCAGGCGGCGTTGCATCAAGTCTGCTGTGAAGGGCGACCATTCACCTTGAATCGCGCACTGAGCAATAGAAGTGAGCCAAGTCAACCACATAAGACTTTAACTAGCTAATGTTGGGGCTTTGAGATCAAAACATACTGCGCGTGGATGACAAGGGGGATCAAACGCCAGGTCTTCTTTTAGTCCTCCCTAAGCATTATTGTTATTATCATTAGTCTGTCTCTTTGCAAGGTCAGACTTCCTTACCATGACGCAATCTTGTAGAAATATATATCGAGAAGGGGGATACACTCAAAATGCGCAGTAGGGATTAAAGTCTATGAGAGATGAAACAGACACACTCACTCAAACAAAAGGAGTCAAACCCGAACAATAGGAAGAGACGAAGAAGAAGAATGACCATAAGTGAATGAATGAATGAATGGATGTATGTTTCTAGACCTGCGCGGCTGTTGTTGGTGTTGGAGGACCTGCGCCGCAAAAACAGATTCTCCGCGGCGGTTCAGTTTGGTGGGGGAAGTTTGCCTTCCATCGACTGATACACTTGGAAAACAGGCTCATCTTCTCCGTCTTTCTCTCCTCTTCCTCGCTATCACTGTTTCCTCATCTCACCCTCGCTGTCACCCCCCGGACGATCTCATCTGTCGTTTTTCTCTGGTAAGTTTCACTCAATCCCCTCTTCTTCTCCTCTTCCTCCTCTCCCGTCTTCCCCACCTCCGACTTGCGACAAAACGTCATCCAGTACCAACGAAGACCCTCTTAACTAACATCCACGTCTTCTCCCAGACCAGAACCTCGCTATCTCCATCTCCTAATCCAAAACCATGGCTGACAACGGCATGCCCGCTGGCGAAGCCACCGCCAGTGAACACCTGAACATCAAAGTGACCGACAACAACAACGAGGTCTTCTTCAAGATCAAGCGCTCCACGCAGTTGCGAAAGCTTATGGATGCCTTCTGTGAACGCCAGGGAAAGCAGATGTCGACTGTCCGTTTCCTGTTCGACGGTACCCGTGTCCGTCCTGAGGATACGCCCGATACGGTATGTGCTTCCACTACTCTACGATGGAATCCATGTCCCCGATGATAAGACTGACGTTTTCCTCTCTCCCACACATAGTTGGACATGCAAGATGGTGATACGCTGGAGGTCCACCAGGAGCAGATTGGTGGATAGAAACAGAGCTAGCTGGGCCCTCATCCACATCGCGTGAATTCTAGCGGTCGCGCTTTCTTCTACTACTTCTTCTTTTCTTTTTCTGTTTTATCGTCTCTTTTGTGGCATACGAGACACGGGCGCATGGTGTTACGTCGCCTTGGGGTTTACTTTTTTTAACTTCCAAGGAGGAGGTTTAGAGATGCACAAAGGAAAAATAACCAAATATCCAAGGACCGAATGTGCTTGATGAAACGAACGACCTATGGGTGGATGTCTTCGGGTTCTTTAGGAAGTTATTATTTTTTCTTTCTGGTCTATATGATTCCCACTTTGACGATTAAGACACCCCTACCTATCTACATCTAGAAGACATGATAATGATTGTCCTCACATGACAGACCATAAGGTTAATCGGTGGATTGGTCTCCATAATTCTCATAATTAACAAACTGCATTATTTTTCCTTCCTTCCGCCATGACCAACAATTCAAAAGTGATATAAAAGAAAGCCACCCATACAATCTCAGAATAGAAGCAAATGAAAATAAGGACCGGAACATAACCAGCTTGCATGATGCAAAGGGTAAAAAAAAAAAAAAAAAAAAAAACCAAAAGGAATGCAACCGACATACATAAAGATGACGAACAAACTCAAAAATGAAAGGAAAGAGATAGTATGGAAACGACAAGTTAAAAAGAAAAACCCTCTCAAAAAAAAAAGCCATATATATAAGGAATATATATATACACATACACTCAAACCAAAATTCTCACCCTAGAGAAACAAGGGGAATGGGTAAGAATGGGAGACGCCACTCACTCATCCCAGACAGCAGTCTTCACCCGCTCCTCCTGTTCATTAAGTTTGGCCGCCTCCTCCCGATCCCGATTCCTCCGTTTAATCTCCTGCTCCTTGGCCGCACGGTCATAAGCGCGCTGTTCCTCAGTGCGTTTGGGAGCCCGAAGCCCCAAAGCTCCCGCGATCATCCGGCCCGCTACCGCAGTCTGTTTGGCGGGTCTGCGCGAAGGGCTGGAATCCGAGGCACGAGACGAGGGGGAGGAGGAAGAAGGGCCCATACTCGTGTAAGATGGGGGAGCCGCGGTCCAGGGATGCGAAGTCTGGGGCGAGATGGGAGTTGGGGGAGGGTCGAGGGGACCCTCTGCGGTGACGGAGGGGGACAGGGCGATGGTGTCCAGCTGGGAGGAGACTAGGTCCTCGGATGAGGAGGTCGAGTCATCGTCGGCTTCGTCTTCCCAGGAATCGACCACGACAGGGACCTTTTTTTTGGGGATGGATGTTCGCACGGAGGGACGGGGGATGTCCTTGATGGTGCTTTTGGTGCTGAGAGTGAGGTCGCTGAGAGAGGAGTGGAGTTCGGAGGTGGTGGCTGCTGGGATGGACATTGGGAGGTGGTGTTTGAATTATCTATGTAGATTATATAGATTATATGGAGGTAGCAATATGGGGGTGAGTGGGAGACGGAGGGGGGAGAAGGAGGGGGGAGAAGAGAAAGAAAAAGAGGTCGATGAATTATTGGAAATGGAGGGTAAGATGGAGGTAAGGGGAGGAAAAGAAAGGTTTGGAACGGTATATAAACCGGGGGCAACGAGACACAAACCCTTAAACTTTGTCTTTGGAGATACCATCAATTCAAATGGAGCAAGTCGGAATCGGCAGCCGTTCGAGAACCGATTAAAATAGAAGTCATTGAATGAATCGTCGAGTTGATGGCGTCAGTCGTGGGGTTCATCTCCCGCAGCTGGTCATGATTGGCTCATGTACAAAGCAATTGACGATCTTGACATTTGGATTCTCCAACTGAAGACTTTTGGGTCTCTTCATGCGAGGTTAGTGTGTTTCGTATTCTAATGCTAGTGCCAGTATTACTCTTGGATAGTATCTTCTTATAACATTTCTTTTTATTCTTATTGTTGTAGTTGTTGCTGTTGTTATCATTATTATAACTAACAATCTAGAACCTCAATAGATGATGACTCAGCAAACCCCAACGTCAAAAAAAGTCTCCAATTGATGCTGCAACGTTGTCTCCCCAAATAGACGGAAGGAATGGTTATGTGTTGGCCCATTGGCCTAATGGCTAAGGCGTCACTCTCCTATTTTGAGATTAAGTGAAGATTGTGGGTTCGACTCCCATATGGGTCGTCCTTTAAGCAAAAGGCTCACATTCTTTTTCTTTTTCTAACCAGCAGCCTTGAATCCGAGAGAGGAATTTTTTGCCGAGATCAACACATACGAGGTAGTTCCTTGTCTCACGGATTATTCTTCAGCTGAGCTGGACGGCATGGGAGACTTAATATGACGTCCCGGTGATCTGGCCAGACTAGACGATAAGAGTGGCCCCAGTCTCTAGTGCTTATGTGGGCTTGTAAAAAAAAAAGGTATATAAACTACTATCACTTAGGTTTCCACCTCAGGTCGAATGTTTCGGAACCTGTCTTGATGGATGCTGAATGGCAATGTCGACCAAGCCTCTGAGGAATCATGCCCTACCACCTCCCGTCGATCCAAGTATCGTTGCCCAGGCAGAGAGGGCAGCTGATAGTTTCAAACACATGAGTCTGCCTAAGTGTGGCGCACGACGTATCTCGTTCGTGTGTCCAGCCGTCGACCATTGGATACCCTCAATACGGAGTGGCGTACTCAGGCCACCCACACTGCTGCATAGCTTCAAACCCTGATTCTCTTCAGAAAAAACAGTATATCACCACCTTGCTCTGCACATGTCGCATCTTACATAGCCATGACCATAGGGCACGATGTGAAACCGCCAAAATGTCTGCTCTTAGCATCTACAAAGGCTTCTGGATCGACCGAGACTCACCAGCTGTGACTGGTGCCACGCTGACCCTCTCCGAATCCCACGGGACGGTCCTCATCTCCTTCATTGCAATCTTTGTGAGTGCAGTGGGCCTATACTTCTGGAATCTGCTTTGTTACATTCTCCATCAGTTTCGCTCCGTCCGACGCCCGCCAGATGGAGTACATTACCAACAACAAATCATCCTGAGGAACACGCACTTGCCCTCGTCCGCCCTCTGGGAGCTGATCATGGTTTCATTTCACTGGCGACAACGGGCCGTGCATCCATACCTCCGATCCATACCCCTAATCCTAATCACAGCCGTCACTATCGCCGGGTGGGCCGCTGCTGGCATCCTCTCGGCAAGCTTCCTGGTCCCAAGCCGGCAAAATGTGCTGATCGACTTCAGCGAATGTGGAATATACACTACAACTAGCGAGGAAGCACGTGTCGGTCGGGAGGTGTACACACGCATGGCAAGACAGGCACAGGATTACTCGCAGCGGTGCTACGAGGGAACGATGGGATCCCGCGGAGGGTGCGAGCGATTTGTTACTCCGAGTCTGCCATGGGCTGGATCCTCGTCTACTACATGTCCCTTTCAAACGGATGTCTGTGCGGGAGGAGAGAAGGGCGTACATCGAATGGAAACAGAGCTGCTAGACTCTCATGTCGACCTGGGCTTAAACGCTTTACCGCAGGACCGGGTATATTACCGCAGAACCGCAACGTGCGTACCATTGTCGATAGACCAATTTACGGAATTTGAGAACAGCTCGGACACTGGTCAGTTGAGGCAAGACTTTCACCTGGGAGGTGTTCAAACGGTGAATGCGGGTCGGAGTAATTTGACATATAGTGCATCCGTGGATGGGGTAGGAGGGTATATCCTTGGGTATGGTTTGGCATATTGGATGATTTTGATGCTGGCAGAACTAACCTTCTTTCTCGGCAGTGAAATTGGAACAGGCTCACCTATGTTTATTCCTGGGACGAATTTTTCTGGTTCGCCGGTGTTCACTCCTATCCCGCCTTTGACTCGAGACGATGCGGTGGTGACTCTGGCGTTTTTATCGCATAATGGAGTATTCTATCCGGAAGCCGTGGACGACCCAATATTCTCCTCGCACTATCAGTACAACCTAACGGAAAACGTGACATACTGGTATCGGGATTCGCCCACGGCCGTCCTGGGTTGTATCGAGCAGCATCAGATCTGCAACGCAAAAGAACCCGGCACCCGTATCTGTACGCAGCCTGATCGGCCTGACCTGTCCAAGGAGACGATAGGCAAGCTAGTTGATGACCTGGAACTCAACCAGAGACAAGCCGCTACCGCCATACTCCTCTTATTTGCCAGTACGACATTCGGCATCCAAGATGTTATCTTCGGCCTGGGGGCCGGGGTGCTCTGTGCCCAGGAATCACTAGCAGCGGACAATGGTAACTCAGCACTTCCTGACAACCAATGGATCATTGAATCGCAGAATCTGTTTAACATCACCCTGGCCAACCTCCAGCAGGTTCTCGTACAGTATGCATCTCCCCCCATCGGCATGTCGGGAAACTGGGCCCTCGTAGATCCAGACCCCGAATACTTGTATCGAGAAACATGCGGACGCCAAAAGGTCAAGGCGACTGGAAGCTATCAGTCTTTTAGTGTGTTCCGGCTGGCACTGACCCTGTTTGTGGGGGTGGTGATTATCGTCTTGAGTTTGACGACCGAGTCGATCGTTGGGCTTGTGCAGATGCGTTTTCGATGGGGCCTCCACCGCCGAGCATGGTGGATTATTGATGGGAAGTTGCAGCTGGGACGACTATCGCAACAATCAAGAGGGTTCGGACATTGGGAGAGATGTATGGAGGAGACCCCAGTAACGAAACTTGGAGATAAAATGGGGGCTGTTGCCCTCATGGACAATCATCCGGTGATAGACTATCGTCTTCCGGGGTATTATAGTAGTGAGGATGATGATGAGTCACTGGTAGATTGATGAAGGCTTAAGAATTCATACCATGTAGTCTCTTGAGAAAGAAAATAAATACTTCCTTATACGTCAAATTTCCCAAGATAATAAAATTTGCTGCCTCAGGCCATCAACAATCCACGTGGTGGCGCCATGAGTTTCCGAGAACTCACAGCTCGGCTAACCCAGTTCCGAGAGGACCAATCAGCGCCGCTACACGTCCTCGGAAATTCTCGGTGAGGAGTCCGAGACCGGCGCTGCGGGGATGGAGCTGGGCCTCATTTAACCACTGGATCGCCCCCCCCGGAGGAGCTTGAAGATCGTCCCTCTTTTTCTGCTCGCGGTCTGCATCTTGCGTGCAAAATAATTCACTTGCACCATGTCTAATCTATCCTCCCTTCCCGCGCGGGCGCGGCGATTGCCCCTTGGACAAGCATCTATCACCCGTATAGCCCGCTTCTCCTCCTCACCGCGGAGTTGCAATTACGCCGATACCCTCCCTAATCTGAAGATTGGCGCTCATACAAAGGTTCTATTTCAGGGATTCACAGGTAAGATTACCAATGGCTTTTTGAATTGATCACGCAAGAGAGAGAGAGAGAGAAAAGAGGAGAGGAGCGCTGACAATCATCATCTAGGGCGACAGGTATGACGGGCTATGAACAAATAAACAAGTACCCGACCACGGACGGACTAACCAGGCCAGGCTACTGCCAATGTCAAGGAATCCCTCGCATGGGGAACGAAGATTGTAGGAGGCGTTAAGCCTGGGATAGAGGGCGAGCATCTGGGACTCCCTGTGTTTCCCTCCGTGAGAGCGGTGCGTATTCCTCCCCCCCTCAGTCATTGATTGAAGGGAATCTCGAATCTCCCATGCTCATGCTGATAGTACTCAATAGGCCCAAGAAAAAGCCAAGCCAGATGCATCGGCAATCTATGTTCCTGGTAACCAAACCGCCCAGGCCATTGAAGAGGCCATTGAGGCCGAAATCCCGCTCGTCGTCGCTGTTGCAGAGCATGTTCCCATCCACGACATCCTAAGAGTGAGCTCCCTCCCTCCTGACAGCATGAATAAAATAAAGTCAAAGATCACCTACTAACAACACCATAGATCCATTCCATGCTCCAAACCCAGTCGAAAACAAGACTTGTTGGCGCCAACTGTCCGGGAATCATTTCCGCCATCGGCAAATGCCGCATCGGGTTCCAACCATTGCCCTGCTTCGCCCCCGGGAACATCGGCATTGTCGCCAAGTCAGGCACTCTCAGCTATGAGACCGTGGCATCGACGACACGGGCTGGTCTGGGCCAAAGTCTTTGCATTAGCATGGGCGGCGACGTCTTGGCAGGAACCAACTTCGTTGATGCGCTGAAGATCTTCGAGAATGACCCCGATACCGAGGGTATGATCATTGTTGGAGAGCTTGGTGGAACTTCTGAAATGGATGCCGCAGAGTGGATCAAGGACTACCACCGGAGAACGGCAAACCCGAAGTGCGTATTGCAGATGCTTTTAAAACAAAAGTGTATAGAGCGCTGACAAGACATGTAGACCCATCATGGCCCTCGTGGGCGGCCTGTATGCTCCCGAAGGACGCATTATGGGTCATGCTGGTGCCTGGACAGCAGTTGGAGAGCCTGGTCCCGAGGTCAAGTACCAGGCCCTCGAGCGTGCCGGCGCCGTCATGGTCAACCACCCTGAGAAATTCGGCGAGGGGATGAAGACCCTGCTGGCAAATCGCCCCCGTAGCCAGGGCGGAGTGGTAAGCACCTTATACCTACCAGAAACACATTCACCAATTCTCATTGAATTCGATTCTAGTTTACCAACCCTGCAAGCCAAAGAAGGGGTTTGCATACAATGAGACGTATTTCCCCACGAAGCCGACAGGGAATGTTCCCGACAACTCAGACCCGGTCCCTCTTCGTCAAGCCATTCCAGGCGCTTGATATGCTCAAGGAGAAGTCGATTCCTGTGCGCGAGACGGCGCCCTCCGACTCTGACATCTTCCTCAACCTTACGGTGGATAGGACGGCATTGACACCATGCATTCTCGCATCTTCCCGCGCGGACTTTTCTCCCTCCACCACCGGCCGGTTCGCCTTTCCCTATGCAAGCAAGAGCTTCACCAGCGGCGAAGCCCCCGTGATCGAAGACATCGCCTCGCATCTCCGGCTGCCTGATTCCGCGCGTGGGAAACTCGCAAGCCTGGTGCAAGGGCTCTGGGAGATCTTCAAAGAGAAGGAAGCTTACATCCTTGAGGTGCGCGCCACCCCCACGGCCGACGGGACGCTGGAAGTGCGAGGTGCACGCTTCGGCTTCGACGATGCGGCCTACCGAAGCTCCGGACGCCAGGAAGAGGTGCACCGGCTGC